ATGCCTGCTCCGGCCCAACCTTCATTCCGTGCTGATGAGAGGATCGTGCCCCCACAAGAGCCCCCACGGAGGAGCAGAAGAAGGGTGAGAGAAAACATTGAAGAGCTTCGTCCGTCTCAACAAACTCAACTTCCTGAACCATGGCCACATTGTGAGTGGGCTACTAGTACTGAGGGAACCGGAGGGTCGTCAAGCTATGCCCCGACTCAGGAATATGACATGTTCACCCAAGGCACCCCTCACTTCCACCATCAGCAACAAACTACTCAGTATCAGACCCCGAAACAACAACGTACATCATCGACTTTCTACCACGCTTCTGGTCCATCTCAGCAACCTCCACCCCCACCACCTGTCTACACTCCGGTGGGTGGTCGGGTTAAGAGGAATCTGCGAGCAGTTGTCCAGCGGGCTCGTGAAGAAGGAGGAGGTAGAGAGGGCAGAAGAAGGGGCTGAGGAGGTCGTGGAGGAAGAGTAAGAGGAAGAGAAGGGGAAGTGGAGGGAAATGAAGACAACCAGTGAACTATCTATGTCGTTCTAATTTAGTTTGGTCTTGTGTTGTTTTCCATGAACTATCTATGTCGTCTAAATTTGGTTTCGGATTGTGTTGTTTTCCATGAACTACCTATGTTTCTAAATTTGGTTTCGGATTGTGTTGTTTTCCATGAACTATCTATGTCGTCTAAATTTGGTTTGGGTTTGTTTAGTTTTACCCCCCATGTTGTACCAAAATGAACAACAAACGCCCTTTATTACAATCACTCAACAAGATTAAAACAAGAAGTCCAACTTAAACATCACAACAACGAAAATGACTCAACAAGATTAAAACAAGAAGTCCAACTTAAACATCACAACAACGAAAATGACTCAACAAGATTAAAACAAGAAGTCCAACTTAAACATCACAACAACGAAAATGACTCAACAAGATTAAAACAAGGAAGTGAACAACAGTAGCATCAAGGTTGGTTCGGAATTGGCCCCAAATCTTGCTCTAGAGGTGGACCTGGGCAACGCCTCTTGTCATGACCCGGTTGTCTGCACTTTGAGCAACACTTTGGACCCCGTCGGGCACGTTGTGATTGGTCCATTTCATTGTGAATCCTTTCGGTCCTAGGACGACCTTTGGTGCGCTTTAAGTGCAACGGTGGGATAATCAACTTCCCATTGTCTACAGGCCAATAAGCTTCATCCGGCAGGGGGCTGAAACTTGACGAGTAGGAGTTCCTGATCGCCTGTTCCGTGTAGTAAGGACTAACCAAACTGTAAGCGCTGAGGGTTATCGACTTAGCTACTGCCATTGCATGTGAACAAGGTACTCTTCTGTTTTGATACTTTTGGCATGTACACTCTCCGGTGCGAGTTTCTACGTGTAGAGTAACGAATTGACGATTATGCCCAAGTCTTCCTCCACCCCAAATACCTGTTTGCACAGCAAAAATACCTTCATTGCGGTTGAACAGAACAACTCTGTGCTTACTTGATTTCTCTTCGATCTTCTGCATGCCATCAAATATATGATGCGCTATTGAATGACCAGCACGCTCCCTCCCTATAGCAGCATCTCGTCTCTTCACAAACCACTCGTTTACCTTCCAGTATGTCATCTCCACTAGGACAGATACATGCATTGCCCTAATGCCCTTGTAGACTCCATTTATGCTCTCGCCATGGTTGGTAGTTGCAATTCCAAATCTAGCCCCATTGTCCATGTGAAATGTCCACATGTGCAGATCTTGACCTTCTGCCCATATTGCTCCCGCCCGGTGTATTTGACGGATCGTCTTCATCTTCTGCTCGTACTTTTTTGGTTGATGTGCAACCGCTACAAGACCGGAGAATTAATAATTAAGCCATAAGAAATTTCATTTGAACAATAAACCATGAACAAGCACTGAATTACATTACTACCTGCCCTCCACAATTGATCTCTTATGTCTTTCTTCTTGCCAAATTTGTGTTGGAAATTGGCTAGGAAGTGACGAATACACCAGCGCCATGTCCATCCCCATTCGTCGGGAAAACCACCGACGACGTGTTTAATCCCGGCATGTCGATCCGATATAATTGTAATACCCATTCTTTGTGTGACGTGGGCGTGTAGCTGGTCAAAGAACCATGCCCAACTTAGGTTGTTCTCCCCTTCAACTAATGCAAATGCTAAGGGAAAAATACTTAAATTTCCATCAACCCCAGTGGCAATAAGAAGAGTTCCTTTATACTTCCTAGTAAGGAAAGTTCCATCAACTTGTTAAAATGAATAATGAGTTAGTAAAAATTGAAATTAGTAAAGTAATGAAATAGTACAATATTTTGAGTCCGTAATATACCTGAATCACTGGCATGCAGAAGGGAAACCCGTCAATGCATGGCTTGAATGTCCAGAACAGACGATGAAACATCAACTCGTTCTGTACTCGAACTTGATCTTCAGTTTGTACGTTGTTGTACCACGGCACGAAAACCGTCCCAGGGTTGGACTCCTCCATTGCGGTTGCGGACATTAGTCTAGGGAGTAAAGCATACGAGTCTTCCCAATCACCGTAGACCTCAGCCATGGCCTTCTGCTTCCCATGCCACGCCTTCTTATACCTTATGGTGTAGGAATGTTGATCCTTCACCTCGGCCATGATAGCTTTTATCTTGATATCTGGTTGTGCCTCGATTAGGTGCTTAATGGTTCTTGCCACTTTTTTTGCTTTAAGTTGCCGGTGATCCTGTGAAAGTATGGTTGAGGAGCATCTGTGGTTGTTCTCTACTGTCCGCATGACCCAGACGCCCTTTCTCTTCATATATGCAGCACGAAGTTGCCACATACAACCCTCTCCAGCATTCTTACAAATGACAGGCAGTTGTCCCTTGTCAGAATATTTTACCTTCCATTCGAAGTTACGCCGCATGGCTTCTTCGCTAAAAGCATCTTGCACATCGGCTTTCAAAGTGAACACCATACCCACTTCCAAATTAGCAGTCGGATTATACACAGGCATGGGCCGAAAGTCAGGGGCATCGTTCTGACCATATAAAAATTGATCAGGAACCTCTGTGTAGTAAGACGTTGGTGCTTGACGGAACGCCACCTCTCTGTCATCGATATCGTCGATATCGTCCGTATCTTCCTCCTCACTGACTGATCTCAAATCTTCCTCACTTTCATCGTCACTGGAGACGAATGGATAGCTCGGCTCAGGATGGTCATCATTACCAGCATAACCAGCATCGTCTTCTTGGTCATGCGAAGTACGCCCAGATCGAAGGGTGTTTTGAATGTCAGCCCACTCTGGACCCCAAGCAGGCCATTGATCACCGTTGGGCTGAACGATATCGGCGGCAGTCTCACAATGTTGCGGGTATTCTTCCCACCCAACACCTCCTTCAGAACTACCTCCTCCGTAGTTGCTTGAAGTACCTCCCCAGCCATACCCTCCTGCAGAAGTACCTCCTCCGTAGTTACTTGAACTACCACCCCAGCCATACCCTCCTGCAAAACCATCATCATAAGAATACTGGTGAGAATGAGTTTCACCGACCGGCTCGGTCTCGACATACACCTCTGCAAGCCGCACCCCGTTCTCAGATATGAACTGTATCATCATGTTCACCGCGTTATCATCATTTATGACAACTTTTTCGTACATGATTCCGTCAGCACTCATGTTGGGATACCGGTAAGTAATTTGACCAACTCTCCTTTGCCCGCCCGTACAAGTCCTTTCTGCACAAATGTCATGGAGTTCTTGCCACGAGAATCTCGACTCAATTTTTAGCATACTGGATTCGCCATTTTCATAGTCGATCCCAATGTTCGAGTTTGTCACCCGACCATTCCACCAAATAATAAGCCGAAACTTCTTAAATTTACCCATGTCTGCAATTTATAATAATTAAGTATAGTATATAATTAGTACATTATGGATACAAAAACAATATCATCCAAACCCATAATAAAATGCAACTAATTGATCTATTATGAGAAAACTAAACAAATTAATCTAAATTCAGTACTAACTAACTAACATCTATCATATCATAATTAATCTAAATATATCATAACATGTTTTCCAATAACCGCAATTCACTAAATACAGACATATAATTACTAACACATCAACATGTAAAAAATACATACTTATAACATACTCAATCCCGATCTATCATGAGAAAACTAAACAAATTAATCTAAATTCAATACTAACTAACTAACATCTATCATATCATAATTAATCTAAATATATCATAACATATTTTCTAATAACCGCAATTCACTAAATACAGACATATAATTACTTACACATCAAAATGTAAACAATACATAATTCTAACATACCGAATCCCGACGAGTTTCTTGAGCAGTAAACCAACTCCAAACCAGCTGAGAAAACGACTAAAAAAACAGGGATTTTTGTACTAATTTGCTGTAAGGCAGCAGGAGGGAAGTGGGCGTGGGAATTTATAGAAAAAAGGGCAGCTAATCACCGCTTTGGACAATGGCGGTGAACACATCACCGCTGTTGTCCAAAGCGGTGATAGCTAGGTCGATGTGACCTAATTTTTCCACCTACCAGGGCTCTAAAACGTGGTCAATTATCACCGTTTTGGTCGACGGCGATGATGTTATCACCGTTTCCCATAAAAGCGGTGAGGCGATCAATTATCACCGTTTTTGTCAACGGCGATGATGTAATCACCGTTTCAAAGAAAAGCGGTGAGGTGATCACTGTTGTGGTCCAAGGCGGTGATGTGTTCCCCGTTGTTGTCAAAAGCGGGGATACCTTCCCCGTTTTGGACTAGCGGTGATCATTATCACTGTCGAAGACAAAGACAGTGATGTTGAAACTGCTGTATTTTGGGGAAAAAGTTTATAAGTATTGTATTTAGGATTTTTTTTTAATAATTAGAGTATTTTGGGATTTTTTTCAGAGTAGCCAGCCACAACCAGAGGTGTAAAACCAATTTATTAAGCGCCCTTTCTGATAAGAGTCATTAGAATTTAGAACCAGAGGTATAAAAATGAAACGCCCACAAAAAAGAGGAGAAGAAAAAATTGGGGGAAAAAGGATGGCCGTTGCTAGAGCCACAACCAGCTTGATTCTCCGAGCTTTCAATTCCCGCCATTTCCATTCTTCTTCCTTTACGCCGCTGTCCTTCTCGCCGTTGAGCTCCACCGCTCTTCAATTCACCCATCGGAAAATCAGCTCCGCCAAGTTCATCTGCGCGGCAGCGTCCTCCGACGACAAGAAGGTCTCCGCTCGACTATCGCAAGTTCAGCAGCTACTCCATGAAGCCGAGGAACGGGCTAGCTTCGCCAGCGACGAACCTACTCCTCGAATCACTCTCGGTACTTCCAGGAAACTCTCGATCCATTTATGGTTTTCTCCCTGATACTATCTCGATTCGGTGATTGCTTCGCTGCACATTTTTGTCGCATCCATCAAGAATTCAAGATTAGCGATGACCAGACCAGGAGGCAAACCCTAGAATCTCATTTCATTTGCTTAACCCTAATCTATGTGTATGATTAGTGCGTCTTATAATGGTGTGCGGCTTGGCTTCAAGATATCCATTTCTAGTTACTATATGGTTTAGCAGTCTCAATTGAAATGGTCCAAAATCGTCCTCCTCCTGGCATTGTGATTCATTTGCAATGTTATTAGTGGTCCTAATGAACGAATTGTGACGCATATACAGACCACGTAGCTGTTAGCTTCGCTAGAAGTGGTGGCCCTGGAGGTCAGAATGTGAACAAAGGTATTTCAGCTTAACTTTGTCTCCAGGCTCACTCTACTCGAAATCAGATGTGTTTCGCGTGCTTACCTAAACATAACCTTGTTCTCTTGCTGTTGCCTTTCTTAGTGAACACCAAGGTGGACATGCGATTCAATGTTAAGAATGCATACTGGCTAAGTGAGAGGATCAGGGAGAAGATATTGCAAACGGTTTGCCTCTGCTTCCTTCACTCGTATGACACGAAACACAATGTGAAACCTAACATCTAGTATATATGGATTTTGAATCTTAGTCCAACTAAAGATCAGTAGCTAAACTGGAGTGAGAGAGGGAAATAAGAACATAGGAAATTATTAATTGGGTTCCTATAATTGCTTGAATCTGCTTTACATGACTTCTTGTGAGGACATTGTTGAGTATGGTTAGATGTAACTAGTTAATAAATTGATTGTCTTGCTAATCCACTGTTCTTCTTGATTTCTTTCCTCTAGCCTTCTCTGTAGTTTAGATAATATTTCTCTTTGTACGGCAGGAAAAGAACAGAATCAACAAAGATGGTGAAATTGTCATCTCTTCAACAAAGACCAGGACTCAGAAGTTAGTTTTTGATTCCTTGATGATTAGATTTCTTCTTGCAGTCATTTCTTCCATCCTCTGCTTATTCTTGTCTAAACTCTTAAGCACTTATCTCATTGCTACTTGTCCTCAGGGGTAATATTGACGATGCTTTGGCAAAACTGCAGGTAATGAAGTATTCTCTCCCTAATTTGGTCATAATCTAAACAAATAAGGTCTACATTAGAGTACAATTTAATCTAACTGTTTGTTCTTGCTTTTGTTCTCATAAAATTGACCAGGCAATCATTGATGCTGCTTCTTATGTTCCACCACCTCCTTCAGAAGAGCAGAAGAAGAAAATTGCAAAGCTGTAAGTGCTATTTTCAATTATCTTGATGCAGTCTGCTTGATATGGAAGAAAAGTGACGCATTTGTTTCCTTACGTGTTTTGGGGGCTTTAAGAGCTGCCATAGGTGAGCAGAAGAGATTGAAAAGCAAGAAGGTTATCTCGGATAAGAAAGCTTTTAGAAGAGGTCGAGACAGTTGGGACTGACTGCCTGATTATCGTTACTTGTAGGGCTACCAAGTACTAATCACTCTCTCAACATTTCGTCTTGAGTCCCTCTTTCACGTTTAGATTCATTAGTCTTGGATTTCCTCATCATTCACTTCCCACTTGACCATCATTATATGCCTGTGATTGTAGGACCTCCAGTATAAAAAAACACCAGTACCAGCATACATGCACTGGTAAAGCAAGGCTCAAACTAGCGATTTTTCTGGTAGGCGGAGTTGCCCCCTGCAACTTCCAGATTCCACACGCTGTTACGAAATTCGAAGGCGACGAACCATTCGTATGGCTCGTTTGGATCTAATATTGTTGAAATAGGTATATTGTTCCAAGGGGAGACATTGTGTCATGAATTTATCTTGAAACGGGTATAGTGCTAAATTGTGTAGTTTGGATTGATAGATATAAAGAAAAACACCTTTCATATATATTCCTTAGTAAGGTATTGTTTAATTATCTCTAGTTAAAATGGATGTGTCAAATGGTACAATGTTTCTACAACAACCGTCTTACATTATACTGAGAAGAATAATGTCCATTGCTTATCATTCTATGTGAATGGGATGGAGATGGAGATCAATCAAGAGTTCTTGGCACAATTACTCCAAATTCCAAATCATGGGAGGAAAATCTCTTTCCTTTGTGCTTGGAATCAGAATTCGTTATTCAACAAATACAACTTGTTTGTGGCTTTCTAATGATCAAGTAGTTGATTTTTCATAGGTTCTTCTAAATGGAGTGTATATCTTCTTTCTTCTTTACTAGCACCGGGCCAGCCCTGTTGGGCGGGTAACCTACGTATCATATTATTTGATAAAGAGGTTAAAATATAAATTCAATTGAAAATAGTTCATTTGTTTTTGTAATTTTTGTAATAAAATGGTGTTTGAACAAAATTTTAGAACAAAAAAAGAAAGTTATAATAAGCAATATCATCTCTAAGGGTTTGAAAAATGTTATATGATATGAACGGTAAAAAAGTAATGGGAAATAAATACTCGGGCCACCAATTCAATAGTCTGATTGATTTTCATTCCACAGAAGAATGAGTCAATACTTCAGCCACCAGATTGAATGACCGGATTAGTAGAACTAAAACCGAAGCCGGTAACTGTCCTTCATCAACAATCAAACGACTTCCTTCTGTCTTCAAATCCTATCTCAGATTCTCAATAGTTCTGCTTCATCTTCCCCAAGTTCTACAGTGATTCCTTCTAATCATCTCTCTTCATCCTCACCAATATGAGAATCCCTAGCGAAAAAAGCTATAGACTTGAGCTTCCTTTTGGCTGCATAACCCTTGGCTGCAAATCGCATAAACCAACGTCCAAATCGACCTCTTCCTATAGCTCCCAGTCTGGAATCTCCACACACTAAAAGTGCAGAAATAGATCAGTGATAAGGTAAGTCGACTTCACATTCCTCCGCTCGAGATATCCTTACAGCAAAGTTAAGAAAACTACAGGGCAAAACGAAAACAAAAAGACAGTAAAAAGATCACTATCCCATTCCAACAAAAGCTTAATTCTATCCATTATATACCCACTCAACAAACGAAATTACCTAACCCAATGACTATCAGTTAACTTGCATTCCTTGCCAAACGTTGTAGAAAGAATGGAATCAAAGCTCAGAAATATAAATAAGAAAATTAACTATGAACTATCATTTCTGTCGGCAACTGCATGCTTCTGGATGCATTTGTATCTTGGTATGCTAATGAACAACATGCTTTACTTGATATCTCACCTATCCACTCTACTTAAATGTGGCACCATTACAAAATTAGCCAAGACAAAAAAAAACCATCCTAGAAGGGTGATTTATTTGAATATAATGTAATAAGTAAGTAAGAATGAGAACGACACACTGCAAACACTAAACTGATGGTAGCTCCATTGCAATATTGGAGATTTCAGTAGACATCTATCTTTCTCATGTACAATTTTCTATACCATCTAGTGTAGTAGATATAGGCAGGCTATGAAGATTCAACATCAAAACATGGTTACTCGCTCTAAATCTCTTCTAGAAGATCAAAGCATAAGCAACTGAATCATCATCGGCAAGTTAGTATCAAATTGGGTTTCGATCAAGTTACCACACAAAATGATAAACTATATCCTCCTTATGTCCTAAACACGCATATTACTTCAATGAAATTGAGGAGAAGGGCGATAAATTGAGCAATCAAAACCTTAAAACTACACGACATAAAAAATGGTAGGCAAACAAACCCCAACGTTAAGGAATCCCAAAATAAACCAACACACTAAACAGCAAATTGAGAACCTGATGACAACGGATCTCTATAGAAGCATAACCATTAACTACAAATCTCACCAGATGCAGAACCCGAGGGATTAATTGATCTTATCCAGCAAAAGAAAGAAGAAAACCATACTTACATGGACAATGAAAATCCATGGTAGATTGAAACTACCCTGTCCATTCTTAAGGCTTACACATATATTTTGAAGTCCTTCTCCGACTAAACCAACCTCTAATTGGAAGTGGGAAATCATAAGCCAGCTAATATGGTGCCAACAAAATGTTAGGCTATTTAAGAGCATCATACGTAATAAATTGGAGACACGATGTCATATGTAAACCAGAAACATGTCTTCCACCTCGGAAGGAATAAATTAAGTCATGGTTCTTCACTAAACTGTCTCATGGCTGCATCTAAAGAGATATCTCTTGACAATACCACTATGTGACAAAAGTCACTTGGCAAAACATTTGTATCTCAAGTAACCGGAATAATCGGGACTTTAAGAGACCCAAATTCATGGACGGAAGCTAGACCAGTTAAAGCAAGTCATAACATAAATTAAGTATATAGCACACTAATCGGAACAGAAGGAAAATGCCAAAAGAATGTCTGCTTCTTGTGCTTTTATCTATGATGACGGTACTACTTGGAATTTAGGGATTGATCTCGTATGTACTATGTAGTGACGAACTGAAGATGTTGCTGGGAAGAAGCAAAGGGCCGATTAAATTAGACTAAAATAGGAAACATAAAGGGATTGGAGATGGGAGTAGTACGACCTGACTTGAACAAAGTGTGAACAAAATAATGAGACTGAGGTCTCATTAAAATCCAGGGAAAACGCTTCTTTACTTGAGAGGAAGTAAGAAAGATCTACCTGCATACCTTCAGTTTTCATCTGCGTAAGTTTGGTTATGAGATTGGCGACAAAATCTGTGAAGCACCAATGCATTGGTGCGCTGAGATTTTGCATTGGTTCGCTATACAAAACAGGATTACCTTTGAATCCAGAAGGATCAAGTCCAAATGGAGTACTTTGTCCGTCGTGACATTCACTCCCAGCCATAACCTAGAAACACGACAATGCCCTGACCATAGTTGCTTCTCCGAATCCAAGTCTCGCATTCTGTTGACTTCCATCTTGCAAAAGACCAACGTACATGAGATAGGCAATTAGAGTACCAAAGAATTAGATTTTCTTGCCAATGCTGATACACAAATAAAAAAAAAGCATGCGAAGGCTATGGACCTGGGAGAATTGAAGAACGGAGAATTAAAGAATGCAATTTTCTATGTGAAGTGATTCTACTGACATGGGGCATATATATGACGTATCTGACAGTTGATGTAGTGAACACAATGTCCACTTAAACACGACCAGCAACATCTTCGGATTGGGAAGGGGGTTGCAGTCGGTACCTTGGACGGGTTTTGCGGGGACGTGGGCTGGAGATGGAATAACGGTGAGGAACGCAACTGCCACCATTCTTCGTACACTCAGCAGGTGAAGGGGCTCGGGTAATGTGGACTCCGACCCAGGTGGTCTTCATGAACGACGGATGGTAGCTGCCACCCCAGCTACCCGATACTTGTCAGCTCCTCATCGGATGGGCGCATCACGAAAGTGGGAGTTTCCAGGTCCGGATGAGGAATTGAATCCATCTGCAGTCAAACCGAAGAAGAGACCTATTCGCCAGCATGTTTCTATACTCAGTGAGGAGAAGGAAGAGGGACATGTTTTTGTATAAGGGCCATGGCGAAGAAATTGGGATCGGCAGCACCATAGGGAAGGAAATTAGGTTAGGGCGGTGGTCGGCGGCGGTCGGCGGCACGAAAGAGTTGTCTCGGATGGAATAAGCTGACCCCTTCCACAGAACCAATCCCCACGGGCCAGCTTTTCTTGGGCTTTTCCAACTGAGAATTGGGTTGGGCTTATTCATTTAATTTGGCCTAACATCAGCAGATACGTTTTTTAAAACGCATAGCAGCAACTAAATAGGGAAATGACCGACCTGTCCTTCCGAGATTTTCTCCCGTCACTGGAAATTCAAATCCTAGCAATTCTGGGTTCTGAATCTGCTTCTTATATTTTAGAGAAATATATTAAAGGGCTTTGGAAAAGAAGCCCCTCCAAGTCAGCCTTAAAACCACGACCACATTTGCAGAATTTCAAGTTTTTTTTTTTAAATTTGTTGGAACCGTTCCCCTAGTAAATAGGTTTCCTGACCGTTTTATTTTTCCTCAGACCAATATACATTTGTATGTTCACCGAAAAAATGTATTCGGCTACATTACCAGACGTAAGGACAAGCTGCTTAGGCGCCTTGAATTCCTTGAGCAGGCTGGGGGCGGACAAGGGAGTGAATCCCAGCTTTGACAGTGTCAAGAGGAATTGGAGCTGGTCTTGTTTCAAGAAAAGGTCCTATGGTGCCAAAAATCTCGCCTTGAATGGATCAACTCGGGGGACAAGAATACAGCGTATTTTCACAATAGAACCATCCAGCGGAGAAACAGAAACCGGGTCACTATGCTCAAGGATGGCGGGGGTAACTGGATTGAAGACCAATCTCTTCTGCTGGAAATGGCGCGAGTCTACTTCAGTGGACTGTATCAGGATGAAGGTGGTGATCTACTAGCCCTACTGGAGGGCTTCCCAGCCCTGGGGGCCTCTCGCTGGCAGCCACTCAATCAGACGCCGTGCATGGAGGAAATTCATGCGGCCGTAAAGGCGATGGGCCCTTTAAAAGCTCCAGGCAAAGATGGATTGAGCCCTATCTTCTTCCAGAGGTGTTGGGAAATGGTGGGAGATTCTCTAGCAGCTTTTTGTCCTAGACTGTTGGAACAACCCGGACAAAATCAAGGATATCAACTCAACAATTCTTGTTTTAATTCCGAAGATAAAGCAGCCAATACCAATTGATCAATTCCGGCCGATCAGCCTATGCAACGTGGCGTACAAGGCAATTACTAAGGGCCTTGCTGAGAGACTGAAAAATCTCATGCCGGCGCTTGTCCATGAAACGCAGACCAGCTTCATTCCCGGGGGCCATATCACCGATAATATTTGCATACTTCAGGATGTGATCCACTCGATGAGAGCTCGTAAAGGCAGGCGTGGGTGGATGGTTCTGAAGGTTGATTTAGCCAAAGCGTATGATAGAATCAGGTGGGGGTTTGTACGAGACACTCTAGTTGCGGCAGGGGCTCCAGACAAGTTTGTGGAATTGACGATGGCGTGCATCTCCTCGGCATCAATGCAAATACGTGGAATGGAGGCCTCACAGAGAGCTTCCAACCGTCCAGGGGATTGAGATAGGGCTGCCCCCTCT